ATTTGTCTAGCATATACTTTAAAGTATTTTTTAAGAATATAATAGTTTATTTAAAATATAATGCTCCGGACTTATATTGGTTTTCGATTCCTAGTACTATACAACAATTTCTCCACCACTCGAACATGGATATCACTAATATCCAGCTACAAGATCTATAAAATACACTTATAAATCACCAATGCTTTTCATTTAGCAACCGACATAACAACAATAACCTATACACAACTGTTTAAAGATTTATCTCAACATTTCATATACAATCTATAAGAGAATATACAAACTCTAACCAACATTGCAAAAACTCTTAATTTTTTAAAATATAATTACAAGATCATAACATGATTGTTGTAAAATTGTCACAATATAATTAATAAGTCTCATAAGTTTCAGATAACAATATCAACTTTACCTCATTACTATATCATTACGATATAAAATAATTTATCAACTTTACCTCATTACTATATCGTTACGATATAAAATAATTTGACAACTTTACCTCATTACTATATTGTTATGATATAAAATAATTTATTATTCTATTGTTTTTATTAATAATACATTGTAAATTTGTTTGAGTAATTTAATATACTTTAATAATATTTTTAAAGATTCTACTGAATACTACTAAATGTATTATAATATAATTTGATATAATAGCATTTATATTTCAATATAGTACAAATGTATTTTTTAAAAAATTTTAGCAAAACATGTTTGTATTTTCAATTTATTGCAAATATAAACTAAATGAATATGCTTATAAATTTCTAATGTAAATACTAAATCTGAAGATATAATTATATAGAAATATTATACGAATATCTAAAAGTAAGTCAAAGAATATTACTTTGAAAATATGCTAAGATTTCAAGCTAGTAGTAATATCATAATTACCAATCTCATAGACAATCCGGCCACCTTTTCACGGATTCATAGTAATTACAATGAAATTCGCCAATGCAATTTAAAATTCTAATTAAAAAATATATATATTAGTTAAAATTTAATAATGCATAATAATAATAATAATAATAATTATTATTATACTTACCAGAACTGCTAGAACCATTATCACTGCTGGATATACGAATTGCACCTTTACAGACAGCCCAAGAAGTATACATTATTGGACAAAAATTTTTGTATAATGGTGATTTGGCTCAAATGGGCAAATGATTGGCTGGTACATGCCACGAAGCAGTATGTGTCCAGCTGATCATTTGTCCATTTGAGTCAAATTACCATTGTACAAAAATTTGCCCAATAATGGTGTTATCCAACAATTTATGATCATAGCCCGATCTGATCCGTATTATAAATATGATTTTAGACCTGAAAAAAAAGATGGTAAATCAGTAAATTGATTTTTTTTCTCATGATAAAAAAAATTGAAATTTTTTTCTTTGACGAAAAAAATTTTTTATTTTTTTTTTAAATACCTTGACATTTCTTCAAGTATTGTTGGCAGTTGAAAGTTGAGGTCGAAGTTGTTGTGGGTAGAAAGTTGTTGGGAGTTGAAAGTAGATAGTGGAAATTGAAAATTGGTGTTGTAATTTCACGAAAGTTAAAGTTTCGTCACAAATTCAAAGCTACAAGTTATCTGTTGATACCGCAAAAGCCTTGTTGAAGCCAGCCATTAAAGTTTTTAGAACCTGTAGTAGTAAAGTCTGTAAAGCCCATTTGAAGTGCAAAGCCCATCTGAAGTCATAAAGCCAATTTAAAGCATAACAGTAAAGGTACCGGAAGCTGTAAAGTCCCTTGAAATCTATAAAAGCAATGCCGAAAATGAAATTAACCCAAGAGAAAGTTGTTAATGCAAAGGTAATAAATAAGTTATTTTTATAATTTTTTATATTGAAAAGATATATTAATATAGTGTCTCATTAGCGAGTCAAATACACTGAGCTCTCTGTGCATAAACTAAAGGAATTTCAAGAGAATGCAAAGGTTCAAGCCACTCATAGGGCGACACAAATGTGGGTTCAGGCACTCGAAAAGTTTCGTTCGGATGTTGGATACGAAGGAAAAATCAAAGAAGTAAACTCGAAAATAGTCTTAGAAGATCAATTATCGAAGTTTGTATGTGCGATAATGAAACAGGACGGTGGAGAGTATCACGCAAAATCTGTAAGAAGTTGTATGGCAGTAATCTGAAGATACCTCAATGAGCATTTGGTAATGGAAAAGCCCGTGGATATACTTAATCCAAAGGTGTACTTCGATTTAAACCAAGTAATTAATGGAAAATTGAAGACCCTTTCTGCGAAAGGCCTTGGTGAACATGTCAGAGCCGATGGGTTGACATTAAATGAGGTTGAGCAAATCTTGGACCACTCCACAATGTGCGTAATACGCAGGAGGGCCTGTTACGATGGATTTTTTTTTATAATACAATGCTGTTAGCATTATGTGGTGGTGAACATTATACTCTGCAAATTAATAATTTCTTTAAAAGAGTCGACGGTGGAATTGATGTCAAATTGTATAGATCCAAAACCAATAAACAAGGGCTTGATAATCACGATGCACAGGCTGAGGTTATCAGCTTACCTAAGATTAAAAGCATCATTGATGACTATGAATTTTACTTTACAAAGCATCTGGGACGACCGTAACGAATTTTTATCTAAAGCCAATGTCATTGAATTCAGGTAAAGTTTTTGTATATTCATTAATGTTGATTTATTAATTTTTTTTTTTTGGATTTTTTAGTAGAATTCTGTAGACAATGGTATTATGCACGTGCTCTGGGTGAGCGAAAGTTTAAAGAGTATTTCAGGGTCATATGTGAAACTACAGATATTCAAATTGGGTTTCATAATATATTGAATCACTCCAGAAGAAAAACCGATGTTCAGTTGTTAAAGGAGCTTGGATACTCCAATTCCGTTATGATGTTGATTACTAGGCAAAGTCCCAAAAAGGTCTTGCTGCATATGAACGACCGAAATCAGTAATGCAACACAAAGGCCTTAATAGATTTTTCAATGTGCTAAAACAAGTTTCAAAAGGTAAAATTCATATATTATGCTTTATTATGGCTTTGAACATTTAGCTAATTCTTTTTTTTTTATAAGCTCCTGATGACTATAATAACAATGCTACCCCAGTGACTATGATGACAATGCCATCCCTGGTAATTACGATGAACACGGTGCCCCGATGATAATGAAGCCTTAAAGATAAACGAAAAGTAGCACCAGTATCTGGTGACTTCGTTTTTGCAAGTTCATACTTTTGACGTAATGACTCTCAGGCTTTGTTGTAAATGCATTCGATGATCTTGAAGTATTTTCTGATGGATCAAGCAATGTTTTGGCCGAGCATGATCAGAACATTTGTGATATGGATGATGAAAAAGAGAAGGCTAGGAGCGCGAAAAATAATAGTAAAAAAGAGGAGATTAGAGGTGGCAAAAAGGATTTAAAAAATCTTAAATTTTTTGAAAAGTTTCTTTCTGGAAATACTTTTCATAATTGCATTTTTAATTTTTAAAATTAAATGTATTTAGTTGAAATTTTATAATAAAATTTATATGTTTGCTTTTGTAAATTGTGCTATTTTTTAAATAATGAAAATTTCAAGTAATTTTGGCCCAAATATTAATTTTGAGTCGAATAATATTGACCAATAAATTGTGTAAAATTTGAATATTTGGCATTACGTTATAATGCATAAAAAATAACATGCAAAAACTGCACCATGATTATAAGAGTTTGTTGAATAAGGTAATTTATTTATTTTGGATTCAGATATTTCAGCAACTAGGCTATTATAATGTTCGTCCTCTTAAGTAATACAAATACGTTTATCAGGTTGAACCCGACCACTACCTTTTTTACCTGATTCATCAACCCTTATAGCTCGATCGATTTGTTTAATAATATGGATAGCCTTAAAAATAATCAAGTTATTAATATAATCTTTGCATTTGAATTGAATTGTTAAATTGACTAGTCCTTAATAAGTAAAGTATTTGATATGGGAATTAAGATCTAAATAGTTACTGCTGTACGTTTGTAAAAATTAGAATCGGCAAAAAGATAATTATTCAACACCAAATACGAGCCAACCAAAGTCAAATTTCAGAATCATTTATGAATAGGAATCAATTCGAATATTACATAGTACAAATATATAAAAAAAAATAATAATGCAAATTACTACTTCTGATCTAAAAGCCATTTCTGGAACATATAATTTTTTTCTTCTACGCTTTTTGGCTAATGTTTCAGCTTCATCTTTACTTATTTCAGATGAAGTACAATTGATTTGAAGAATTTTGAGAATTTCTTTGTAGGGATGTGAGAAAGTAAGCTCCGATGCCTTTTCAGTTCATGCAACTGATTTCTGAAATTATATTAATAGTAATTTAATATTATCAATTTATTTATAGCAACAAAAAAAAATACTCACTCTACGGCGGCGTTGACTATGGCGAAGTGCAATAACATTTCTGTTGTGCCTTACTGGGGTTATTTTCTAACAAATTATGTTGTTTGCGCAAATAAGTAACATATGCAACACAAATTTTTTGAATAGTTGATGCTGTCTACGTTTCTTCTTCAGCTAAAAATAAACATATATATAATATAAGAAACATAAATAAATAAATTATATATATGAATTAGCATGATAAATGAATTTCATGAATCCTATGAATCCTGTATATTACCATTGTTTTACAATGATAATATACAAAATTTATAGGATTCGCGAAATTCACTTATTGCTAATTCAAAAACAGTGATAGTAACTCTAGTAAGATAAGATTATAGTAAATGAATTAGCTTACAAGCATTTGGATTATTCTTTAGTTTCTGATGAAAAAAACTTTACATATGCTTCAGTGACATCTTTATTATGGGGTGCTGCAGGAGTTTCACCTAAATTGTATACATAGGTACGTCTGATATCCTTAGCAACACTCAAACTTTTCTCTTTTTTCTTTTTGGGCTATTCTAAATGCTGATTAATTTTTATATAAATTCTTTCACATAGAACTGGAAAGGATTTTTTAGACTTTTTTTTGTTTTATTTCGTTGGTCGGCCATCTTCAGTCAGTCAGTGATTTCTTCGTCAGATTCTTCAATATAGTCATCATCATCGTCATCATCAACTTCAATAGTGTTAAGTTTAGTTAAAATTTCTTTTGAACTTTTTCTGTTTATTTCACCTTTTACTTTCTCCATAATATAACCAAGAAACTCATCCACTAATCCAATTATATCATTAGCTATAGTTTCTAAGTCCTCATTAATTTTTTCACCTATCTTTTCTGCTATTCGATCGAGTTTATGATCTAGCTCAGAATTGTAATCGATTTGAGAAGTTTGAGGATTTTTAATTTTTTGTATTTGGTCTTGGATCTTATTTAATATAGTTAAAAACTCAGCATTTTGTTTTCTTGATTGGCTTTAGACTCAATAAGCATTGTTGCTAACTCTTCAGTGATAGTTGAAAGACTTGAAGTATCTTCTGCGATGTGATTTATATACCGTAAATATTTGCAGTGGTGGGACGAGTTATGTCTTCAGTTCTAGTCATTTTAGAAAAAAGTATAAGATCTAAGATACGGTACGACAAATGTATTTATAAAAGTAAAAGGTAAGAAGTATGAGTTAAGCGAAAGGTAAAATAGGAAAAGAAAACTATGAATTAGGCAAAAGATAAAATAGGAAAAGGAAACTATGAATCAGGCGAAAGGTAAAATAGGAAAAGGAATCTATGAATCAAGCGAAAGGTGAATAGAAAATGAAACTATAAATCAAGCAAAAGGTGAATAGAAAACGAAACTATGAATCAATTGAAAGGTAAGATGTGAAAAAAGCTCTGAATCAAGAGAAATATATATATATATATATATCATTCTTTTATACATATAATTATATAAATATAATAATGATAAATATGATGATATAATTTATAATTAAATTACAAAGAATATAACTTATGTAAAATGTATTTTAGATCATTTTTCTAATGTAATTATATTAATTAATGTAACTGTTAGATTATTTTTCAAATGTAAGTATATTAATATACTTATATTAATATAAACTAATATTTTTCTTGTAATAAATTTGTCAAATATTAGAACTTACAAGTAAATATAACAGATAAATTAAAACTTTACTATCACATGTTAGTTGACTTCTTGGACTACAATACATTTTATATATAGATAATATTTTAATTTAATTCTCATAGTGTTGTTAAAGGTGAAGAAAATGAATTTAAAATGTTTTTTTATTAGTACTCTATAATTATTCTATAATTATTCCTTTGCAATAACAAACAAATACTTTAGGTTCATTCTGCTAATTTCTATTCTACATGAGTGCGTGAGAGTGAAAACCTGCAACCAATTATAGTAAATCATTAAATCTATTTCCAGGTTTTCAATCTTACGCACTCATATCTTTTTTTTTCGTTTAAGTTGTATAGGGCCTGAATACAGTAATACTAATAGAGGTTATATTGGTTCTAATAAAAATTTTTACAAATTTTATTTAAAATCTGCAACTTTAATTGGTTGAACCTTATTTTAACTAATCTAAGTTGCAGAAAAGTATATACTTGCATGGTTCAGGGTCCTGTTTTACAATGAATATGCATGCAAATTTTAAATTATTTACTGCATCAATATTTGCAACACAATATTTTCTAGATCAAGATTATTTCTAAAATAGATATTAAATATTTACTATATAGTGATACGTAGCAACTACTAGTATCACAAATTGGACCAAATTTTTAAGACCAAGATAATTGCCTATGCAACTTCATCGATCCTTTGGGTAAAACCTTCCTTTATGCAGCCTTTCACTTGGTGAGCCAACTACCCTCAATTACAACTATTGTGCATTTTATTCTAATTTAGCGCAAATTAAACATCTTTTTACTCTTAAATACCCTTATCATCCTTTTGGCTAATCAAGATTTGTTACTCTAAAACTAATCACTCTAATTCTGCCAGTAATTTACAAATGCCCAGTCTAATTCTGATTTCAATTTGATAAAAATATATATAATATATTAGAAATTTAAGAAAACTATACGTATGTAATCAGTATATAATTAGAAAAAAGCAATCATCATGTGATACTTGTCTTTGAAGTATACAGTATACAAAGTTTATTTTAAAGTATACAGAAAATATATATAGTTATGTATATTTTAATTTGTAATAAGGAAAGTATAAATTAAATAATGATGATTAGTAATAGATCTTTTTTTAAACAAAGTAATAAAGACATTTCTTACCATATATAAAGTTGATCAAGAGAAACACATCGCCGGTAAGAAAATAAGTGGATTACTATATGATTAAAAGTTAATAATATATAAAATGATAAATTTACCTGCAATTACTAAATTAAAAAATAGAAATTGACCTTAATATGAGCAGCCGACATAATAAAATAAAACAAATTTACACTCCCTTACCTCTTCTTCGTGTTCGTACAAAGCCAACCAAAAGTTATAAAAGGTCCTTGCCTATTACTTATAAATTATCAGCAAACAAATCAAATGAATTTTTAAATTTAAGCAATTCAAAAAAATCAAATAAACATTCAAATAATTTAAGCAATTCAGAATGATAACTCAAATGAATCAAATGAATTAGATCAATATTCTAGTGAAAGTTCGAGAGAATCAGATATAGATTAGGTTATTAATGAAAAAGACTCTTTACATAATTAGGAGAATAATCAGAAAGAGCAATTACTTGACAATATAAATTAGGAGGATAATGAGACAGAATATTTACATAATTACATAACTTTGGACAATTTGGAGGATTACGAAAAATATTTGCAAGATAATGATAATGATTTAACGAATTCAGATAATAATACAGAGCAGAATATCCAAGAATACAAACTATTTGAGAGCCAATTACAATCATTTAAAGGATTTAATAGAAAATACAGTCCGTATTTTCCAAATTTCACATCTACTATGCTCTTTTCATGGATTACAGAGCATATAATTCTACAGCAGCCTATGAAGTCCTTGTCAAAATTCTTAAACATTCAGAATTTCAGCCTGAACATGTTATTGCAAATATAAGACGTTTTCGCAAATGGAGAAATAGACTTCCATTGCTCAAGGTTTGGAGTCATACAGTTCTAATTTCTAGACAGCATACCCCATCAAATTCAGCTTCAACCAAACCTGTATATTCAATAATGCCAGTAGATTATATTGAATATATTCTTAATAATCCAACAATTGCGCCAATTTATACTTTGGCCCTGGTATTATATGTGATAAAAAACATGAATTCTGGCATGGTACACTCTGGCAAGACTCACCTTTATTTGGAGAAACTAAACTTTGTATAAATAATGGTTAGCAGTTTTTTATTTTAGCATAGTATATTAGAGATATTATATAATAAAACTTAGCACTCTGATTTACCATACTAATTAGTCTTTTTTTATTAGTTACTTATCAAGCAGGCAATTTTTTA